GGTCACATTCGAAGTGGACGCCAACGGTATTCTTAACGTTAAGGCAGAGGACAAAGCGAGTGGTAAATCAGAGAAGATTACAATCACAAACGAGAAGGGTCGTTTGAGCCAAGAAGAGATTGACCGGATGGTGAAGGAGGCTGAGGAGTTTGCAGAGGAGGACAAGAAGGTGAAGGAGAGAATTGACGCCAGAAATGCCTTGGAGACATACGTGTACAACATGAAGAACCAAGTGAATGACAAGGACAAGCTTGCAGATAAATTGGAAGGTGATGAGAAGGAGAAGATCGAAGCAGCAACCAAGGAAGCCTTGGAGTGGCTCGATGAGAACCAAAACTCAGAGAAAGAAGAGTACGATGAGAAGCTCAAGGAGGTAGAAGCAGTGTGTAACCCAATCATCACTGCTGTTTACCAGAGATCCGGAGGAGCACCAGGTGCCGGAGGAGAACCAACGGCAGAGGATGATGATGAGTCTCACGATGAGCTCTAGATGTCTTCTTTTTATCATTGATTTGTTAAAAATACCCATTAGAGACAAGTTTTGAGGGGGAAAGAAAAGAAGTCTGTTTTTGGTTTTGTGTTTTAGGAAAAGGGGAGAGATTAAGTAGCGTCTCTTCTTTAGTCTCCCCAGACGTTCTCTTTATGTTCATCTGATACTTTTACTTCTTCATAACAAATACTTCTTTTTTCTTTTCACATCCAACATCAGATATACACACTCTAGGTTAAGTGGTGTTAACAACACTTCTGTAAGAATCAAGTCAGAAAATACATTTTCAAAATGTATTGATGCCTTTTGGAATTTGCAGAAGAGACTAGAAAGAGAGGCACGAAATGAGACTAAATATGATTTGTAATGTAAGTCGCGTCGAGTGAAACTTACATGAACATCAACATCTTTAATCTTTATACATCGAACGAATTACATAGAAGAATTAGCGGAATATCTCTGTTTATTGCAGTGATTAAGTGTTTCTAAACGATTTTTTTTTAATGAAAAATGAAAGGTTAAACTTGAAGGTTTGGAGTCTCGATTTCTATAGTTTTGCCTACAAACTTTTTGTTCCAGTGTTGTAGACTTGTAGTTTATTTGAAATAGCTTTTACAATGGACTAAATACATGTATGTATAGGTGAGACAACTAGACTCCAGTTTCAAAGTTTTTTTCAAATTGATCTCAATTGTTCATCCAATAAGATGGAAGCATGTGTGACAAGTGGAAACATATTATTTGACTATATGTTATCATCCTGATACTTGTCACATATGCTTGTGTTTATACAACATTTATCATGATTTTACGACATTTGTCACTTCCTCAATACTCGTTGTTAAAGTTAATTGCTCAATAAGGATTTTTTTTAATGGCATTTTTTGGTATTGTCATTTTTGGTAAAATTTTATAGATTTGCCAATTTCAAATTAGAAAAATGTGATTAAACATTCGTTTTATTCGTTATGTTTGAGTTTAGTCGGTATTATGAGACATTTGTTGGTATTGTATTCGTTGCAATTCTTCCGCATGTTGTTCGTTTTTGTGCGATAACTTTTGCATTTTTCTTATTTGTAGACTAATAAAAAATTAAATATATATTACGGAATAAAAATATAAATAGAAAGTACAAAAATGGAATATATTAGCTTTGTATACATTTAAATACATATAAATTTAAATTTTCAACTGTAAATATTTTAGCGTATATTGCTATAAGGATGTTATAAAACATAAGCAAATATAATAATATTATATACTAGCTTATGTAATCATATACATTACCTAAATAAAGGTAGAAGAGAGACGAGAGGTGAAGGGTGAAAGTTAGAACAATAAAACTCTACTTATAAATACTTCGCTCTCTCTTCTTACACTTCCTTCTTCTCATGCATCCCTCGTACCATAAAGGGTTTTGAGATAAGATAAAACTACGATAGCTTGAGGATGAAGCTACTTAGAACTTATGTAAATAATATAACATAACAATGGATAATCATCTGTAAAGATAAGTATTAATGTGGATAAGAATGAGTGATAGGATAATAACGTTTATAATTATCCATTTCTAACATATATATATTTCTTGATCAATCGATAAGTTCATGAACCAACATGAAAAAATCCCAAGTGATTTCATGCGGCAATGTGGCATGAAACTATTGTTTGCATGTGCCGGTAGAAAAAGAAAACTAACCGTAGGTCCGTAACTATAATCTTAACTTACTGCCCAAGTTTTATGATGTGACAACTGACAAGATTGTCTTAAGAACACACACGTGTCACTTGCGGTTCCTTGTATAAAAACCCATCACTGGTTCTCTTCACTCCTCATTTGATCGCAATGGTGCCCCTCTCTCTACCATAACCTTTCGCTTTGTTCTCTCTCTCTCTAGGCACTCTCTCGATATTGACTGTAAGTCCCAGATCTCTAGTTCGTGTTCTTTGACTACTTGTATGTTTTATTCTCTTTGCTTCTTCTTGATTTTATACTAGAAGGAATGTTTTCAGTCTTGTTTTTTTCTTTTCAATCAGAATTTAGGTGGGGTTATTGGATACTGTATTTTAGTGGATTTTAATATATTTTAAAGATACACCGTTATTGAATAAAGTATTTGTTTCATGTATTTTAAATGTATTAAAATCCTCTGTTATTCAATATAGATTTGATTTTGGTACATTTTAGTTATATTTTTAAGCGAGATCATGAGTCAAACAAATCCAAACATTTTCATCAGTATTTTGGATTATTTCACTATTATCCTACGGTAATTAAAAACCTCCATACAATAACACCCCCTTAATTTAGATCCACAATACTAGATCCATTGTTAGAAACGGTTTTTTTTTAAAAAAAAATTGAGTTTTCAAAACGGTTTTTGAAGCAAATCTCTTGGTTTAATATGTTCTAACTAGTATTACACCCGTGCTATGCACGGACATATACAATATTTGACTAAAAATTGCATGTATAAATTATGTAAGGTTTTACAAAAAAAAACAATTATGTAAGGTTTATCAGAAAAATGAGTATGCATAAAAAAAACAAAAACACACTTGTCATTGACAACCAGAAACGTACGAACACTAAGTTAGATTAAAGTAGAAAAATATACACATTGATCTCAGCTTCTGAGAAGAAATATTAGTTAAAAGATTTCATGTTTTACTTCTTTATGCATTGCTCTTCCAGTATTTCTCAATCTGCTCATTGAGTAGTTTATATATGTCTTCACTGGTTTTTAACATCAAGTAATTCATTCGTGATCTCCATCTGCAAACGATTTTACAAATCCAGTTAAAACAATCAGAAGATGAAATCAGCATGTAACACATGCACATCTCAAGGTAAATCAAGTGACATAAGAATGAACATCTTCAGCATGACTCTGCCATAAAGTGCAGTCGATGATAGTTTGGCTGCAAAAAAAATGTTAAATAATTAAATCTAAACAACATAATACAAACATTAAAGTATACAAAGAGAGACATGAAGAATTGTCTTACTCTCTTGCAAATTCACTAGCCTGAGATCTCTAAGTTGAATATCCAACAATTTTGAACTTTGACCTGAACAATCTTTCTCACTCATACCAACAATCTCACCAATAATATCTGAATTTTTAAAAATAAATTTTTGGATTACTCATATATTTAATTATGAATCGTAAAGATATATAAGAATAAAAATGCCAGAGTTAAGTGACATGTAAAATTGCAGTAAAGGAAACATACCATAAAAACGTCATCCTTAGACATGTAGTATAGATGAAATTAATCTTGTAAGGATGTATGGTTCCCTTGTAGTCACCATGATTAGCACAAACTTCGAAATTCATTATATCAAAGCATCTTCCTTCCAACAAATCTTTTTGGAATTTTCGAGCCAATTTTTGTTTCACTGATGCTTGAATTCGATCTCCCTGTCCACAAGTTATTTTAAAATTTTCGTTATATTAAAAAAACTATAATGTTAATTGAAGCTATAATGGGAATTGAAGACTGTTTATGTACCTTTGAATCCACCAAAATAACTTCTATGCCCAGAATCACTACAGCTTTATCTCTTGGATGATAATTCTATGTACGGGATATTAAAGCTCTGAAAGATGAGTATAATCTAGAGGCATCTTCCAACTGAAAAATTAAAGTTTTTAATTAATATGAGTAGAAGATGAAATATATGAAGATGAAGAAAACTATAAACATTTACCTGCACAATCGTAGTGTAACTGCAATGTAGAGATGACTTATGGAACAGAGGATTAAAGAGAAGATGTATTTTATAGGAGAAGAAAAAAATATGAAACAAAGACGATAAGAGAGGAGAGGATAAGAGATAAAAGAAACTGATTTGGGATTTAAATAGAAGAGGAATCAGTTATTTTTTTTCATTGATCGTGGAGGTGATAGTGGCTTAAAATTAGAGATAATTTTTTTCAGTTTCTGCTTTTACTTCTCTTGGAACGATGAAGAAGATGAAAAAATATATATATTTATTTTTAGGTTTTAGATGTGGGCTAAAGCCCAAAACAAATATTCATAGTCGCTGGCTTCTTTCTCTATTGACGTGGCCTTTTAGTTATTTTGTTTCCAGATTCTAAGTTACTTTAAAAATTTTTTTTTTTCCAGATTCTAATTAATTTTAATTTGTTCAATTGTGGGTGAGAAGGTTTTTTTTGTTTAAACTAAAAAGAAAAAAGAATCTGATGTGTCATAATTATATTGGACAGGTGACTTGTGATTTATAGGATAAATGATTAGTTAATCAAGGCTTTGATTCGGCCGTGAGTGAGTGGGCAAGATCCACTATATACGAACGGCCAGAAAATAATAATATCCGATTTAGGTAAAGGCTTGAGGTTTCGATCTGTTTTGGAAAAACAATCAAGAAAATCAAGGTTCAACCTAGTGTTGTTTACTAATGATAGAACTCTCATAACACATAAGATTTCATTAGTGTTTTTATACTAGTGTTTATAATTATGGTAGAACTCAATAACTCATAACATATAATGTTAGTAAAATGTATTTTAAATCTGATCACATGATTTGCTTTTATTCACAAATCCACTAAAATATGTGAACCAATAATTTTTTCCTAATCTTTGATCGTTTGGATATAAAAAAAAGTTTGTTGAAAGGATGTCAAATTCAGAATCTTTGTGGTAGATAATAAATTGCTTACCCTCACTTTATTTTTAATTTTAATTTTAATTTTTAAAAATCTGTTTTTTTCAGGTCTTAAGGAACCAAGAATGGATTCGGACCTCGATGAGCATGATGAACCAATGGTAAGAATCGCTATCCTCCCGGTGTTTACTTGTACTATTTCGTTTGAAGCATATGAAGAGTTTTTCCACTTGTTTTCAAAAATTTGTGAGTTATATAGTAATAGGATGTTGCTAAACACTGTCTTGATATGAGCTAGTAAGGGTTTTGGTTGAGAATATATAAAAGCTAATGCTCTTAGTTTTTGAATTGCAGTATCCAAGGCGTTTAGCTCCAAATTATCTTAAATTCATGAGATATATGAGGACGACTCTTGATACTCCATTATTCTCAGGAGGAGCAAACCCATTCGATGCTAATGGATGGATCAAGCGGTTGGAAAGGAACTTCATTACTTGTAAGTGTCCCCTAGAGTTTAAGATGGATATTGCTGTGGGTTTCTTGGCTGGGGATGCTTTGTTCTGGTGGCAAGAAGTTAACCGTGGGAGCAATGTGAAGACATGGACAGAGTTTGAAATTGAATTCAGGAAGCGGAATCTTCCACCGGAGGCTAGGGATTCCATTGAGCTGCAGTTCTTTGAGCTAGTACAAAGGAGTAAGTCCGTTAGGGAGTATGAGTCTGAGTTTTGGAGGCTTTTCTATTTCCTTCTCGAAGATTATGACAAGGAGCAAGCTGATATTCGTAGGTTCATAAGGGGACTGAGACCCGAGATCCGAACATATCTAACCGGTATAAAGTTTAATCGGCTAGCAGATGTTGTCCAAAAAGCTACTATAATAGAAGCAAACATTCTAGAGGAGCAGGTTGCAACCTTCGCTTTGGGGAGTAAGGCATTACATCCATCATGCACTGACCATGCAGGCAACTCTAGAAAGAACAAATCCGGAAAGAAAAAGAAGTGTACAGCCTGCGGGGGACACCATTTTGGACCATGCTCATCCGCTAAAGTTTGCTACAACTGTGGTAATCTTGGTCATATTGCGCGAAACTGTAAGAATGATGATGGAAAAGGATCAGCTACAATGCCTCCCACAAAGCGTCAAGCCCGCAATGCAATGGATGCTTCTACTTCTTCTTAATTCCGGTAACAAGAACCCGATGCACGGGTAATCTAGTGTAAAATTCAAGCCTAATATATATATTTTTGTTTGTACAGCGGCTAATACTATCGGCACTATGACTATAACTACCCTATGCTACCTGCTTTTTGGCTTGTTTATAGACTCCGTTCACTACCTTGTTTATAGCCTGAACACTAATGTATAAACTTCCTCCCAATCATTAAAGTGCCTATCTATATTTATTTGTCTTGAGGAATCTTGGTTGTATGAATATTTCTCGCTTTTGTTCAATTCAACTGTGGTGCTATGCATAGCTTCCCTAATACGTAAGATTGCATCAAAGTCTCGAGGAGCAACCATATTTAGTGGTCAACTGATCATGTTTCTCGAACTACCATTTGTCTTTTTGATAATTTTCTGGAAGTGGAATGTGGTAGCATGTTAGGTTGCATCTCCGATGAAGTCACATATCTTAGGAGTCAAACAACATGAGAACGCCAATAATAGAAAACGCTTACTTGGCCTAATAAAATAAAAAGCTTACTGGGCCAAATAATAGAAAACGCTTACTGGGCCTAATAAAATAAAAAGCTTACTGGGCCAAATAATAGAAAACGCTTACTGGGCCTAATAATATAAAAAAGCTTACTGGGCCCAATAAATTAAAAAAGGAAGAAGCGCATTGTCTAGAATTAAGAAGAAGAAACGAAGTAACAACCAACGGTGACGATTACACCAACAAAATATAAAATCTGATTGGTTAATATTATAGATCGTCGAAAGATGATTGGTCCACGTAGTCTACGGTGACATAGTTATGTTTCTTCGTCTACCATAAAAGGAGACTACTTCACCATCACCTTCGGGCACTACTTGGACCTATTTAAGCAAACTTCTTCGACAAAGCTTAAAACCATTAATTAATAAATAAAAAAAGGAAGCTCTGTTGAAAACTAAGTTTATTCGATCGAAACAAAGAGGGCGAGAGAGAGAAATCGAACGCAATAGTTTCCGATATGGCACGCTCGTTCGGAGCAAACGGCACTGTTGTGCTGGCGATCATCTTCTTCGGTTAGAGCTCTCTCATCTTTCTCAATGTCTTCTTCTTCTTCGATTTGGATATTTTTAGTAAATTGTGTAGATCGTAAAAAACTCGTCCGCATTGTTCCTTGATCGTATTAGTATCGGTTTTCCTGGATAATTTGATTTGTGTTTGTGTTACATTGTTGAATTGCAATTTTACGATCTTAAGGTTAGATCTCGTTTACGTAGATAGTGGAAGATGTTTGTTGTAGAGATTAATTTCATGGATAATGTGGTGACGAGATTAGGTTGTGGTTTGTGAAATTGGGATTGGTAGACAACTAGAGATTACAGTTTTGATTTTGATTTTGAAATTGTGTATTGAGCGATTGGACTTTCTTTTTTTACGTTTCAGGATGTTTATTTGCGTTTTCCACTGCCAAAGAAGAGGCCACGAAGCTGGGATCAGTTATAGGGATTGATCTTGGTACAACTTACTCTTGTGTTGGTGTTTACAAGAATGGTCACGTTGAAATTATTGCCAACGACCAAGGAAACCGTATTACTCCTTCCTGGGTTGGTTTTACTGACTCTGAGAGGCTCATTGGTGAGGCTGCTAAGAATCAGGCGGCTGTTAACCCTGAGAGGACTATCTTCGACGTCAAGAGATTGATTGGGCGAAAGTAAAATACTTGTCCTCTTTCTCTTGCGTGGTTTCTGTTTGTTTCACCTTGCAGGGATGTTGATTTTTTTCTTTCTTTTTGTATCTGGCAGATTCGAGGACAAGGAGGTCCAAAAGGACAGGAAACTTGTACCTTACCAGATTGTGAACAAGGATGGTAAGCCATACATTCAAGTCAAGATCAAGGATGGTGAGACTAAGGTTTTCAGTCCTGAGGAGATCAGTGCTATGATTCTGACTAAGATGAAGGAGACAGCCGAAGCTTACCTTGGAAAGAAAATCAAGGACGCTGTTGTCACCGTTCCAGGTTAGCCTTGTTGTTAATTCGGCTTCATTATATGTGGTGGTGACATATATTTTTCTGGATTGGTGATTGATTGTTTATTTGGTGTTGGCTGTGCGCAGCTTATTTCAACGATGCCCAAAGGCAGGCTACGAAGGATGCTGGTGTTATTGCTGGGCTTAATGTTGCTAGAATCATCAACGAACCTACTGCTGCTGCTATTGCCTATGGTCTGGATAAAAAGGGTGGTGAGAAGAACATCCTTGTCTTTGATCTTGGTGGTGGTACCTTTGATGTCAGTGTATTGACCATTGATAACGGAGTGTTTGAGGTTCTCTCAACAAATGGTGACACTCACTTGGGAGGTAATATACTTGTACCCACGAATGAATCGTTTTCAATCACTTTTTGTTCAATAACAGAGGAGTGTTTGCTTTAGTGTTATGTTGGTGCTAACCTTTTGTTGTTATGATCTGCGCAGGTGAGGACTTTGACCACAGGATCATGGAGTACTTCATCAAGTTGATCAAGAAGAAGCACCAGAAGGACATCAGCAAGGACAACAAGGCTCTTGGTAAGCTCCGAAGGGAATGTGAAAGGGCAAAGAGAGCTCTTAGTAGCCAGCATCAAGTCCGTGTAGAGATTGAGTCACTCTTTGATGGTGTTGATTTCTCTGAGCCACTCACCAGAGCTCGTTTCGAGGAGCTGAACAATGACTTGTTCAGGAAGACCATGGGACCTGTGAAGAAGGCCATGGACGATGCTGGTCTACAGAAGAGCCAGATCGATGAGATTGTCCTTGTTGGTGGAAGCACCAGGATCCCAAAGGTTCAGCAACTATTGAAGGACTTCTTTGAAGGTAAAGAGCCAAACAAGGGTGTGAACCCCGACGAGGCTGTTGCTTATGGTGCTGCTGTTCAGGGTGGTATTTTGAGCGGAGAAGGCGGTGATGAGACCAAAGATATTCTTCTTCTTGATGTGGCACCACTCACTTTGGGTATTGAGACTGTAGGAGGAGTGATGACAAAGCTGATCCCAAGAAACACGGTTATTCCAACCAAGAAATCTCAGGTTTTCACAACGTACCAAGACCAGCAGACAACTGTCTCAATCCAGGTCTTTGAAGGTGAAAGGAGTCTCACCAAGGACTGCAGGTTGCTCGGAAAATTCGACCTCAACGG